GCTGAAACTGAAACTGAAACCAGCGATAGGACCAAACGCCAGGTCAACATAGCTGTAGTGCTCCCTTGCTTTACATTCATCGTTTAGTTTGCTCTGTGCGTAACAGAATTTATCATGCAATGTAGGAATAGGTAATGGTTATTAGGGAACAACAAATTATTTTGGCAGATTCAGATGCTACCCACGGAGAGGAGTCAGAATTTAAAAAAAATCTAACAGTGAGAGAGGGAAATTCGAACGAATGAAACTAGGCCATCACCGGCAGTAGTTTGCAACTCACTCTCCTGGGTAGTCATTTTTCTCGTCAACGAGTTTTTCAACACACTCTATCAGTGAAGAGTCTGTAGTTGGAGTGCATTCTATTTGCATCTCACTGGCAGAGGACGGCAATGGTTGTTTGGGCGGAGAATCACCTTCGAGTACTGATGATTCAGGAGTGGTGGGTATCGTTGTCACTGGAGGTTTATTTGCTGACCGCTGGTTATCGTTGGAATTCGACCATGCAAGAGCATTAATATCACCGGTGTCCGGGAAAAATCTAATAAAAGGAATTAAAATGCATCAAAATGGGGAAGTGAACTTTGTTGTACTCATAACAAGCGAATATGGCGACGCCGCAGAGTAGTGGATGTAAGGAGCCAAACCGGAGCCAAACATGATTGCAACACATTAAGGATATTGCGGAAAGTACCGGACTGTGATACAAAGATAACAAAGCTTCCGTGCACAACCTCATGAAAGGAAGCAAGTAAGTGATTCAGTTCAAAAAAGAACGAGCCACAACAGAGTCAGAAAACATGAAGGAACCCTGTTAGTTCACATTGACGATTGTTATGGGAAGCCTAAACAAGACTTTTTCCATAAACAAAGTTCACAGCACAAGAAAACTCTTCTGTCGCAGCCGTTGGAAAAAAAATCGTGACGATGTACAATTTCCTTTAGATGGTAAGTCGGATGTAATGGAGGTGCCCTGGGTTGATAAAGTTCAGTCCAGTTTATACAACTATTAACCATGCACCTTCGTGCGCCAGTTTCGGTTGCTATCTTTTGGCTGCCCATTTGGATGAACAGTAGGAGAAAGGTAGAACAGTTGAAAGTAGAGTCGAATAAAAAATGGAGAATTCCAGTGGCTTAAGCTTGTGAAGAAATTGAGATGCACAAACGTCACTGTTTACGACAATCAACTACATCACTCAGTGTCTCTAATTATCGGTTACGATCATCCAGAGGTCCCCAACCAGGGAGCATAACAGGATCTATGTGACCCGATCTCCTGGTTAGGGGTTTCATACTTTTGTGCCAGGTCTCTATGCACGGATGTTGGCCAGTGAGAGCAGCATTCTTGAATGGACCCCAGCCCGCGGCAGCCGGATACCCCCGGGTTAAGCAGAACTGAATGCTACCAAGCGAGTCTCCGGGTCGTGGATAGGGCGATACCTTCACAGAAGAAGGTTAGTTGTAAATAAGTTGTGGCATACCGCAACAAATAAGCAGTCGCGACCGTACAGCGGCAGCACTACCAGGGTGTGGTGGGTTTCAGGCTGGTCGCCTGGCTCCTGTTTAAAAGCCGTATAAGCCCAATTACGTTGTCGTGACAAAGATCGATGTGACTGACCTTTTGAAACTGAAGTCATCGACTCCCTCACTTCCGAGGCGAGAGATTACTTCCTATTGCTTTGCAGTTCCTACTTGGTTGTGCAAAGGATAGAGGAGCGCCCTCAAAATAAAAAACGTCGTGACGCTGGGGACGTCTCTCGTACCAAACTCCCAAGGAACTTCATCATCATGATTATGATTATATCTGGATATATATAAATATATATATATTTTGAAAAGGAGAAGGCGAGCACTGAGTGATAGTATATATATATACATATATATATATATTTGTCAGGAAGGTTGAATGCCAAGAAACTTTGGTCGAAAAATTCATATTTTGGTGAAAATAGCCGAAAGAAAAAAGCCGCAGCTGGGTGAGCCTCCGGGGCCGAAATGATCGGTTAGTGTATTCGACCGGACGGTCCGACGTTTCTGGTCAAATTATAATGAATGTTCAGAACGCACCGGAGACAATAAATAGAATGCTGACCAGTAAATGAAAAGGAAGACAGGCTTTTTTTCTAATATACTATACTGCATCATTTTGATTGTGTTCTCTTCTTCGGCTCGGAAGTTGGTGGTGCGATAGCAGT